CGGTCGGCCGACCTGGATGTCAGCGGTTCTCTCCTGGCCATGGTGTGGCGAGACAAGCACAACATCTGTATGCTCTCCACCATGCATATGGCAGACATCCGTGGTACCGGCAAGCAAGACAGGACAGGAAAAGCTGAAACCGACCTGCGTCATCGAATACAACGCCCTGATGGGGGGGCGTTGACAAGAGCGACCAACTAGCGGCAAATCATCGAGAAATTGGAAGTCCCTCAAGTGGTATAAGAAGCTATTCTTCTACCTGCTCGACTTGACGCTGGTGAACAGCTACATCGTGTACCTGGCCGTTGGTCACCGCCTTTCCTTCCTCGACTACCGCTTGAGTCTTGTCCGTGAGCTGCTGTTCGGCGAGCCCTTGCCCGAGTACCGCCCTCAGCACGATACTCCACCAGTCACCAACTCCCGCTTTGTCGGCCGACACTTCCCCGTAGACTTTGAGAGGACCAGCTATGGCGACTTCCGCCACCGGCGGTGTGTCCTCTGCACTTCCCGTGGTCTGCGAAAGAAGACACACTTCGAGTGCGACACGTGCCACCAGCCCCTCTGCGTCGCCCCCTGCTTCAAGGAGTACCATACTGTCCACTAATTGACACTTTAAACATTTACTTTCATGGACATTTTCATTGACACTATATTTTGTGTTTTTCATGTGTGTTTTGACTTGATGCCCCACTTATCTGGTGTAAAACAATATGCCATTTACTGGTGGTTTTAGGAGTTGTCATAGTTTTAACCTTTGAAAAAAATGACGAAAAAGACAAAGTTTCTGGAAAGTACTGCTTTGAGGATGTTGTATTTTCATATCTTGAAAAAGTGGCACATTTCCTTGTAATGGTTTTACTAAGTGGTCATGTTTTCAACCTTTGAAAAAAAATGACACAAAGACAAAGTTTCTGGAAAGTACTGCTTTGAGGATGTTGTATTTTCATCTCTTGAAAAAGTGGCACATTTCCTTGTAATGGTTTTACTAATTGGTCATGTTTTCAACCTTTGAAAAAAATGGCAAAATAGACAAAGTTTCTGGAAAGTACTGCTTTGAGGATGTTGTATTTTCATCCTTTTCATTCCTTGCATTGGTGTTAGGAGTTTGCTCATTCTTACCTTTTTTATGAGTTTTGCTTTTTATTTGATTAGAAAGAGTGGAAATTTATTTTACTACTTTTATGAGTTCAACTTTTTCAATGAGAAATGAAAAGAAAACACAAGAGAAATGACAAGAAG